ATTTTTTTATCAGTTACTAGGTGCCTAGTATTTATAAGTACTGTCTACGTGCTTGAGTTGTATCAATGCACAAAAGAAGACTTCCTCAAGGAGCTTAGTAAATAGCAGTAGTAAAACTTTCCTGAACAAGGTTTTTCACATTACTATAGTCAAAATTTACAGATCAGCCAGGCTAGAATGATCCATGTGACAATGGGTTAGAGCCAGAGACATCAGTAAGAACTCAAGTTTAACTTGATGATACAGACTGTCACATAGTGAAGTGTTAAATTTCTGTGTTGCATCAGCTGAGAATCTATAAGAAATGACACTCCTGTAGCAATGAACACACCTAATGTCTCAATCTTGGTTTCCAATACCATTCTCTCCAATAAAGAGAACCAGAACTTCACAGAGAAATGGCTGGTTAATAGGACTGGGGATATGTGAAAAGGCATAGGAGCTTACTCAAAGAGTTGCCAATGGTTAACTCGGGACAATAAAATAAGCAGTACTGAATTACAATCCAAAATGTAAAAATAAATACCTATGAGTCCATAAACATGCGGTGTATTAAAACTAATCAACAGAGGAGAAAAGAAATATGTCCTGTATAGACAATTCCAAATGTACTATGTAGCTATACCACCCTAACGAAAGAAGAACATAAATCTTTAAATATGGGCTGCACACAGTGACTTCTATCTAAAAAATACAGTATGGAAATGAAGGTAGGAGAGGAGCAGTTACTTTATAGGGAAGAAACGTGACAAACACTACTTCAGCAAATGATGAAAGCTAACCTCCTAAGTCATAAGACACGTTGACAGTATGCACAGTGATATGACAGGGTAGGCATTTTCCCTCTATCATCTTCCCCCGAAAAACCCACAATCTCAGACTAATCATAAGAAAAAAAAAAAATCAGAAAAATTTCAGTAGTGGGGTATCTTACGATGTATCTCAACTAATATTCCTCAAAACCGTCAAGGTCATCAAAAACAAGGTAAGTTTGAGAAACTGCAGTCAAGAGTAATCTAAAGAGACATAACAATTAAATGTAGCATAATTATCTTGGGTGGGATACTGGAAAAGAAAAGGGACATTCAGTAAAGACTTTAAATCATGAACTTTGTTAACTGAGTACCCTATGGTAACAAATGACCATTCTAATGTAAGATGTCAATAGTAGGGGAAACCATGAGTAGAGTAGAGGAATATATGTCTCTATATTATCTGTTCAATTTTTCTATATTCTAAAATATTCTAAAAAATAAAAGTCTATTAATAAAAACAAATCTCCTGTCAGAGAACTTACAATTACCAATAATTAGCCCAAAAGCATTAGGACTGAATTAAACTTAATTTTAACTAAAAATTAATTTCTGAAATTAAATTTGCCACTTAATTATTATTTATTTCTTCCCAGTGAAGAATAACCAGAGACTGAGTGACACAGTCACAGAACCATGAAACGTATAATATAAAGAAATCACATCTACTTAATTAATGGTTACATGAACATGTAAAGGCAGGTCTTTATTTGGTACCACTAAGATATAACCTAAAAAAGATTCTGATTAGAGTTGATCAAGTTTACTACTTTATCTACTAAAGTACCTGATCTACTATAGTCTACTGAAATAGAATTTAGTTTTTGAGATAACTTCCCTAGGGAAGACTGCTGTCAACTGCAGTGGGATGAAGGAGACAATGCTATTTTGACACCTTAAAAAGTATACATACATACATCGGTACAGGGTTCCTTGTTTGTATTCTGTGGGATGCCTGGGTAGCCAGTTACTACATAAAGGGAAAAAAGCAATCCCAGATAGCTAATATTGACCATCCATGCATTTCATTTCATGCAAAATGAAAAGGTGACACTGACAGTGGAGAACCCAGGTAATTCAGAGTCAATTTCTATCTTAACGTCTATTTGTGTGAAAATTCTAAAGAACAATAAAATGGGCTACAAACTGATGAAAAATGAGAGGAGGGAAGTACACTGGACTATGGTGAAGGCACAGGGTGATTTGGTGATGGGAATTACAACTGAGATGAAAAAATGCACAAAATGATGTAAAAAACCAAGCTATTACATATTAAAAAAAAGATGAAAAATGAGATTTAGATATTTGTCAGTATAGATCCTCAAATACAGGTATGTTTATAGGGGTATCATGATTATAATATTGAAAAAATATTATTGTATTATTGTATTGGGGTCAAAATGCCCATTACATGCTGACATATATTTGCTAACTGCGGTCCTGGGCAAGTTACTTTGTTTTGTCTTATGTTCCCCATCTAGAAAATGGGATTAGTGACAGTACTTT